TTAGTATCCTAGCAACACGCATGCCTTCCTTAACAGACAAGTGCTAGCCATGCATGAGGAGCACTCACTGGGAATTGAACCCGGGTCTTCCTCATGGAGGGTGAAGATTCTACCGCTAAACCACACATTAAAGCAGCCCCTATCTGCCAGGCCTTGTGCTAAATGCTTTATGCACATGCTTTTACTTGAGACATTGGAGACATTGAGAGGCAATAGGAGTCCCTGGGTGATACAAGTGCTTAAGCAGTTGGCTACCAACAAGTCGGTGGTTCAAACCCACCCAGAGGCACCTGGGAGAAAGGTCTGGTGATCAGCTTTGGAAATGTCACAGCCATAAACCCCTGTGGAGAGCAGTTTTGCTCTGCACACAAGGAGTTGCCACAAGTCAGAGTCAACTTGTTATCAGCAGGTTTGGTTTTGGCTGTTTTGGGAAGCAGTGGGTAAAAAGCAGGGTCTGGAGCCATACTGCCCAGGGTCCAAACCCCAGTTTTGTTCTATAAGCTGTGTGGCTTCGGGCAAGTTTCTTAACCTCTCTGTAGCCTAGTTTCTCCATGTGTAAAATGGGAATGATAATAGTATCTACCTCACTTGGTTGTTATGAGTTATGAGAATTACATGAGTTAATCCATATAAAACACTCAGGTCCATAGGGCCCAGGCACGTGTGAAGAATGCAAAAGCAGTCGGATTATTTTTGTTATTCGCTTATAATTATTAATCCGTACCACATGATGAGACCCATGTTTGTATTGCTTCCTCTTTATGAGACAGGAAACTGAGACACAGAGAGGTTAAGTCATGGGTTCTCGGTCACACAGCTGGGAAAGGGCAGAGGCAGGCTGGAGTGCCATTGCCCCTATGGAGTGTGCTCTGAACAGCACTGCTCACCACCTGCCCTCTGCTTGTCCGTTTATTCACCCAACGCCTCCACCCTCCCCAACGCTGCACAGCCGGAAGGAATTCGAGTCAACAAAACGGTAGCTGTTCGCACGCTGGATCCAGAACACAAGGGCCAAGGTGAGTTGCTGCAGGAGACGGGGTGGGGCACGGCCTGGGGCTGGGGTGCAGGTCTGCGCAAGGGGGGGTGCAGGTGCCATCCGTGTCTCCCATTTGCCTGGCAGAGGGAGTGCAGAGAGAGGAGATCCCCGCGGCTGACCTCAGCGACCAGGTCCCAGACACAGATTTGGAGACCAGAATCCTCCTGCAGGGTGAGATGCCCTTGGGCCTGACCCCTTGTGGCTCAGGAAGGTGGGGGGCCCAGATGGGAATTCCATCTAATTCTGGGGGCCTTTAACCACCATGGGGAGCTCTGGTGGCATAGTGTCTAACACATTTGACTGCTAACCAGAAGGCTGGCGGTTCAAACCCAGCAGCCACTCCTCAGAAGGAAGGTTGGGCAATCTAGTTCTGTAGTGATACTGCATCGGAAACCCAAGGAGGGGTCGCTATGAGTCGGATCTGACTCAACGGCTGTGAGTTTGAGTTTGGAGTTAACCACCACGGAGTCCCTGGGTGATGCCAAAAGTGTAAACACTCAGCTGCTAACATAAAGGCTGGGGGTCGAGTCCACCCAGAGGTGCCTGGGAAGAAAGACCCGGCCACCTTCTTCTGAAAACTCAGCCACGGAAAGCCCTCTGGAGCACAGTTCTGCTCTGATACACAGGAGTGGCGAGGAGTCAGGGTCAACTCAATGGCAGCTGGTGCTACAAACTGTCAGTGTGCTCAGCTGCCAAGTGACAGGTGGGAGGTTCAAATCCCCTCCACAGGGCTGCAGAGGAAAGGCCTGCTGATCTGCTTCTGAAACCCTATGAGTGTAATTCTACTCTGACGCTCCCTGGGTCAGCGCAAGTCAGAGTGGACTCCATGGCCACTGGCTGGGTTTTTTTTAAAACCACTGCACTGCCCTTCTCCACTTCCACTAGAACAGCCCTCCAGGATCTGTTTTATAGCTGACTGCAAGGAGCCATGGTAGCACAATGGCTAATCCCTCAGCTGCTAACCAAAAGGTGGGCAGTTCAAACCCACCAGCCCCCCTGTGGGAAAAAGACCTGGAGTTCTGCTCCCACAAACTTTATAGCTTGGGAAACCCTATAGGGCAGTTCTACTTGTCTCACGGGGTCGCTATGAGATGAAATCGATTCAACCGCACATAACATAGAAAACTGCAGGCAGGAGTTAGCATGGCACCTGGCGTTTGCTAATAAAGAAGCTTCAATGAGAAGCAATGCAGCAGGAAAGAGAAGTCCTGGAGGACAGGGGGGAGAGGGGCAGGAAGGGTCTGCAGGCTGTCAGGCCTCCAGCAGGTAGCAGAGGGCTGTGAGGATGAAAGGAGATTCTACGCGGCATCCTCAGAACATCCAGTCGCCGTCTGGTTGGTTCCAACTCCTGGTGCCCCACACGGGTCAGGAGTGGAACCACGCCCTCAGGGTTCTCAGTGGCTGACTCTGCAGAAGTAGATCCACAGGCCTTTCTCCCAGGGCGCTCCTGGGTGGATCTGAACCACCCTTTTGGTTGGCATCCGAGCATGTCAAACATTTGCATCACCCAGAGAGTCTCTCAGAAGAGTCTGGTGAGTGTATTATGTACCATGTAAGTACTAATGAGGCGTAGTGCCCTAAGGCATTTGGCTGCTAACCAGAAGGCTGGCGGTTCAAACCCACCAGCCACTCCTCAGAAGGAAGGTTGGGCAATCTACTTCTGTAATGATACTACTTCAGAAAGCCAAGGAGGGGTCGCTAGGAGTCGGGTCTGACTCCACATCAGTGAGTACTAATGACTGTTGTTACCAGAGTGAAGGTCCCGGGAGGGGGGCATAGTTTGTGCTCAACTATTAGCCAAAAGGTTGGTCGTTTGAGGCCCTCAGCAGCAGGAGAGAGCTGGCAACCTGCTGTCATAAAGATCACGGCCCAGAAACCCTAGGAAGCAGTTCCGCTCTGTCACATGGGCCAACTTGATGGCAAGGGGTTTTGAGGTGGGTTTTTTTGGTGGTTTAGAGTTATTGTGGACCCCCAGTGATGCAGTGCTTAAAGCGCCCAGGTGGTAAGCAAAAGGTGGACAGTTCAAACCCACCAGCCACTCTGCGGGAGAAAGATGAGGCCGTCGGCTTTCACAGCCTTGGAAACCCTGTGGGGCAGTTACACTCTGTCCTCTAAGGGTGCTGTTGAGTCAGAATCCACTCCATGGTAGTGGGCTTGTGTTTTGGGGTTTGGAGTTATTTTCTCTCTGATACAACAAGAGAACTCAAGGACCAGGGGTCCCTTGTGAAGCAGCACAACGACCCTCAAATGCAGACAGCCCCCAGCTATCCCTGAGCCCCTAGTCGCCCGCGGGTCTGAAGCTGAGTCTCTGGGGAAGCCCCGCCCCTCCCCAGCCCCTGGTAGGTCACCTGACTTGAGCGCAGTTCCCCTCCTCCTCACCCGCCCCAGGGACCCCGGTGGCCCAGATGACGGAGGATGCCATCAATGGGGACCGGCTGAAGCACCTCATCGTGACGCCCTCGGGCTGCGGGGAGCAGAATATGATCGGCATGACGCCCACAGTCATCGCTGTGCACTACCTGGACAACACGGAGCAGTGGGAAAAGTTCGGCCTGGAGAAGCGCCAGCAGGCCCTGGAGCTCATCAAGAAGGGTGGGCCCCGACCGCTGAGGCCCCTCCTCCCCACCCCTCCCCAGGAGCCCCTCCCTGCCTGAGACTTCCTACCAGAGACCCCTCTCCTTTGAGAACCCCCTCCCCCTCTAAACCTCCCTCTCTGAGACCGCCTCCCCTCTCTGAAATGCCCCATCCTGAGTCTCCTGCCCCCAAGACCCCTCCTCCCATAACCCCTTCTCCTCCGCCTCTCTCTTGAGACCCCTCCCCTTTCTGAAATACCTCCTCCTTGGAGACCTCCTCCACCTCCTCTCTGGGACCCCCATTCTTCCTTTGAGCCCCCTCCCTACCTGAACCCCTCTCCCTCTCTAAGGCCCCCCTCTCCTCTTCTTTCAGTGACCCCTCTCTTAGTCTCTCTCTCCCTTGGGGAATTTCACCTCCTCTCTGAGACTCCTCTCCCCGCTCTGAGCCCCTCTCCTGAGACCACTCTCTGATTCCCCACCTCTCTGAGGCCCGCTCCTCCTTAAGACCACCCCCCCCTTTCCCTCAAAGAGCCCCTTTTTCCTCTCCAAACCTCTGTCCCCTCTCTGAGCTACTCCCCTCCGGGCGCACCCACCAGCCGCCATGCCCTCCGCGACACTGTCCCCTTCCCCACAGGGTACACCCAGCAGCTGGCCTTCAAACAACCCAACTCCGCCTACGCCGCCTTCCAGAACAGGCCGTCCAGCACCTGGTGAGTCTCTAGGAGGCCCGGCCAGTGCGACACAAAGCAGACCGCGCGACCTCCAGAGTACAGGGGCTGCATGGCGGAGGGACCTCTGGCAGGGAACCCACGAGTGTATGCAACACTTAGTCCTGGCCCCCGAGCGCCCTGACTGGGGCGGACCCGGGAGCCTGCTCAGTCCCGCCCCTCGCTGTTCACTGGTTTGCTAGGATGGCACTCTCTGGATCCCACAGCCGATTGGCTTAAGCAAAGCTTAGTCCTGGGCCCGCCCCAATTGGGGGCGGGCTTGAAAGCCTGCTGTTCATTAGTTTGTTGGGATGGCACTCTTTGCAGTCCACAGCCAATAGGCTCATGTCACACTTAGTTCTAAGACCGCCTACACTGGGGCGACGCCGGAGCCCCGGCAAGGCCCGGCCTCTCGCTTCTCATTGGTTGGATGGGGCAGCGCAGTCCGGATCCCACAGCTCGAATCTCGCCCTGTGCCTACCTCCAGGCTGACAGCCTATGTGGTGAAGGTTTTCTCTCTGGCTGCCAACCTCATCGCTGTCGACTCCTTGGTGCTCTGCGGGGCGGTCAAATGGCTGATCTTGGAGAAGCAGAAGCCCGACGGCGTCTTCCAGGAGGATGGGCCTGTGATACATCAGGAAATGATTGTAAGCGGACGTTCTCAGGACCCACTGCAGGGAGAGTGGTGTGCCGGGCTCTCACTCTTCCGTTGCAAAAGCCAAAGACAAATGAAAGTGAAAATGCGGGCCCCATGTTCAAAAAGTACCAAGAATTTCTTTAAACCAAGAGTAGGTGTGGGGTGCTGCGTGGGAGCCCCTCTTACTTCAGCCTATCCCCTACCCCCCCCCTCATTCTGCTTTCTGGATGGTTCTCAAAAGCGACCCCATCTTCTTGGCCACCCACACGCTCGTCCAAGCACCCCCGTCACTTACCTGCAACCTTGCAAAAGCTGCCTTCTGGTCAGCCGGTGGCCCACAGATCGAATCCTGCCAGGTTGCTGCTTTGAAGTTCCAGGTTTCCCATTCCTCTTAAATACGGAACTCCTCACAGCGTGTTTCTCAAAGTGTGGTCCCTGGACCAGCAGCAGCATCGTCTGGGAACTTGCCAGAAATACATATTCCCAGGCTGAACCCCAGAGCCACTAAATTAGAACCTGAGGAGGGAAGGTGGCAGGAGTTGGAGTTTTACCAAGCCCCTCCCCAATCAGGGTGATAGTGATGAGTGCTCAAGTTGTAGGAACACTGCCTTCTCTCTCCACATACAATCCATACTGGGAAGAGTCTTGCTCTTCCGCCACAGGGCCTTTGCACGTGCTCTGTTTGGATGCTCAGACTTGCCCTCTTTGAAAGTTCACTCCTACTCCTCTGATGGGGGCTCAGTCTGCATCCATCCATGACATTTTTCCTACCCTCCAACTGGGTCAGCTCTCCCAGCCATTCATTCTCAAGCCCTGTCCACTTCTTCACAGCCTGGGTCAGGTTCTAATTATATATCTGTTGATGAGCTGGCTGGTTCCTGTGGGGACTGGAGTCAGTGCCTGTTTTTCATCCACCATTGTATCCGTGATATCAGCACAGTGGTGCTGGAAAAAGATCTTCAAATGAATTGAATAGAATACTAAAGGGTTTGGCCTTATTTCCCTAGTGCTGCTATAACAGAAATACCACAAGGGGGTGACTTTAACAAACAGAAATTTATTCTCTCTCAGTGAGGAGGCTAAAGCCATATTCAGGGTGCCAGCTCAAGGGGCAGGCTTTATCTCTGTTGGCTCTGGAGGAAGGTCCTTGTCTCTTCAGCTTGTTTCTTGGTTTCTTGGAGATCTCCATCTTCCCCATCTCTGTTTGCTTCCTTGCTTGTTTGATCTCTTTTATATCTCAAAAGAGACTGACTTAAGACACACCCTGAACAGATGCTCTCATTAACATAACAAAGGAAACCTATTCCTAAAGGGTTTATGTCCCCAGACATAGGGGTTAGGATATTTTGGGGGAAACAATTTGATCCATAACAGCCCTCATGGGGGAAGACAATTGGCAGAGACCTAGCCCTGCCCCGGCACCCCGGTTCCGTAGAGGGGTTGGTTGGAATGTGCAACCATTGGTGACCCCATCTTTGCCTCCTACTCTCCATTCTAGGGTGGCTTCCGGAACGCTGAGGAGAAAGATGTGTCCCTCACGGCCTTTGTCCTCATCGCACTGCTGGAGTCTAAAGATATCTGCGAGGGGCAGGTCAACGTACGTGCTCCTCATCCCCGCTCCCACACCCTTCCTCCTACCCACTCAGGCCACAGCCAACTCAGACAGCGAGATGGCCACATGCATTCCAGCAGGTTCTAGTCCTCCTCAGTATGAGAACATCCATCCCATTAACCATAATAATAACCAGTGCACCACTTCTCGTCAAATTGATGCATCTTATGGCGACCCCACGTGTGTCAGAGTAGAGCTGTGCCCCATAGAGTTTTCGGTGGTTGTGAATCTTTTGGAAGGAGATCACCAGGCCTTTCTTCTGAGGCGCCTCTGGGTGGATTTGAACCGCCAACCATTTGGTCAGTAGCCAAACGCTTAACCATCTGACCACCAAATAGAGGGTCCATGAAAAAGAGAAAGACCCTCCATGAGACGGATTGACGCAGGGGCTGCAGCAATGGGCACAGACACAGCAGTGACTGTGAGGAAGGTGCAGGACCGGGCAGTGCTTTGTCCTGTTGACATGGGTCACTAGGATTGGAACCAATGTGATGGCACCTAACAAATTGCCAGACATATCTGTCCCGAGGACAGAAGCTTCCCGGGTGCCCAGAAAGTTGCATTTGTGTGGTCTTTACCAGTGGTCAGTGCAGCGATGCCCACCTGACCAGGAATACCGATCCTATCCCTCATAGAGCCTGGGCAACGGCATCAACAAGGCCAGAAACTTCCTTGAAGCCCGTTACATGAACCTGAATAGACCATACACTGTGGCCATCGCCGGCTATGCCCTGGCCCTGTTGGGCAAGCTGGACAACGCCCGCCTTAACAAATTTTTGAGCACAGCCAAAGGTGAGGGCAGCATGAAGAGGTGGGGAGGTGCATGTCTGGGACTGGAGGGGTGATCTCAAGCTGGGATGCATGGCTCCAAGCCGAGCTGAGGTGGTTGGCTCTTGGCTGAGTTGGGGTGCACAGCCCTGGGCTGAGCTGGGGTGGACGGCTCCAGCTTGAGCTGGGGTAGATGGTTCCCAGCGGAGCTGGGGTGTGCAGCTCTGGGCCACGCTGGGGTGGATGGCTCCCAGCTGAGCTGGGGTCCATGGCCCTGGGCTGAGCTGGGATAGTGCAAGGCTCCAGGCCGAGCTGGGGTGGATATCTCTACAGTATTCAAAGCCACACATGAAGTCCGTTGCATCATTCATTCAACAAGTGTGTATCTGGAACTTCTTATAACACAGAAGTGAGACAGTAGTTAAGAACATGGGCTCTAACATCAGACAGGCCTGAGTTCAGATCCGGTTCTGCCACATCCTCACAACATGGCATTGTGGGTATTCCAAGTTGATGACAGCGCTTCTCCATACAGTGACTCAGGAATCCAGGCCTCTATCATATTGTGGCATTTCTGCCCTGGGGGCCTGGAAATTTCTCCGCATCCAGGCAGAAGAGGAAACAGGAGGATTGAGCAAGGGAGGTGGCCCAGGCATAGAAGGGAACTAGTCAGTGCCGTACACATTCCATTGGCTAGAACTTAGTTTTGTGGCTACACCTGCCTGCAAGGGCAGCTGGGAGATGTAGTCCAGCTATGTGTCCAGGAAGGGAACATGGTTTTTGGTGGCCGACTCTGTCACAGGTACTTCCTTATTTGGGACAAAACAGTGGACGTAGCACAGCCCTTACATCATAGAGTCACACTCCAGTTGAGGAAAGTGATGAGTTAGTAAGAGATTCCTGGATAGTGCCCCAGTGTTGAGACAGGACAGGCACAGGACTCTTTGAGGGAGAGAAGGTTTAACTCAGGCTTGGGGGCCATTGAAGCTGAGTTATGCAGGATGGGTAAGAATTAACCAGGTGTAGATGGAGAAAATGGAGCCCTGGTGATGCAAATGGGTGAGCGCTTGGCTGCCAACAAGAAGGTCTGCAGTTTGAGTCCACCAGCAGCTTTGCGGAAGAAAGGACCTGGCCATCTGCTCCCATAAAGATTACAACCCAGAAAACCCTATGGGGCAGTTTCACTCTGACCTACAGGGTTGCTATGAGTAGGGATCAATTCGGTACCCAAAAACAACAGGTGGAGGAAAGGGGCTCCAAGTCGAGGGAACAACATATACAAAGACCCAGAGGTCAGAATGAGCATGCCATGTTTAGGGAACCTCCCCATAGTTCAGTGGGGCTGAATTTCAGAATTTAAAAGGAGGAATGAGGGCTGGTGAGGAGCGAGAGGGAGGCAGGAGCCAACAGATCAAGAGCCAGGATGTCTGAGCACCAAGAGGTTCTACCAGTTGCCGTTGAGTGCCTCTGATTCATGGCAACCCCGTGTGTGTCAGAGTAGACCTGGACTCCGTAGGGTTTTCAGTGGCTGTGATCTGTTGGAAGTAAATGGCCATGGCTTTCTTCTGAGGAACCTCCACCCTTTTGGTTAGCAGCCAAGCACACCCACTGTTTACGGACTCAGGAGCTTCCACCATGAGTCTTTGTCAGCTCTTTCTCTGAACCATCACCAGGCTAGACAGAGCAATGAGCAATGGCGGGTTCTCTCTGCAGATAAGAACCGCTGGGAGGAGCCTGGCCAGAAGCTGTACAACGTGGAGGCCACGTCCTACGCCCTCTTGGCCCTGCTACAACTCAGAGACTTAGACTCTGTGCCTCCTGTCGTGCGCTGGCTCAACGAACAGAGATACTATGGAGGTGGCTATGGCTCCACCCAGGCAAGTGGCCCCATGTGCCCCAGGCACCTGCATCCCTGCTTCCTCTGACCTCCCACTGGCTTCCTGGAGGAGACACTGGGTGCTGAGAGGCAGTTCTGTCCCACAAGCCAGGGTGATTGGGATGGAATTGAGAAATCCATTTTTTCCTTAGTTGTGCACCATCTGTGGGTTCTACACTATGTTCTTGATGTCTTAAGATGTGTTCTGAGCCTCCCTCTCCCTCTTGGTGTTTAAATCATGTTTCCAGGACTCAGGTTCAGATGTAAATCTTTCTCACTCCTCATCCTTGATGGGTTTTAGACCGTGTTCCCAGTTCTACCAAGCTCCCAATCTTACTCTCTCCCCTTGATGGGTTCTAGACAAGGTTCTTGGTTACTGTAGGGTGAGCCTCTCTCCCCTAGACTGGATTATATGTTACCCTAGACCTTGTCTGTCTCCCTGGTGGGTTCTAGACCAGGTTCTAGGTTCCTCTGGAGCATTATCTGAGCATCTCTCTCCCCCCGGTGGGTTCTAGATCATGGTTTCAGTCTGCGTTAACCTCAGATTCCAGTTTGACCCTCTTCCTCTTTGGTGGGCTCTCTGAATCACATTCTCAGTGTCACCAGGCCTTTGTCTGAATCTCTCCCTTATTGGACTCTAGATCACATGCTCTGTGTCCCCAGGCTTCAATTTTATTCCTTTCATGAATGGGTTCTGGACACATTCTCAGCGTCTAAGCCCTGGTCTGAGACTCTCCTCCCGTGGTTCTAGACCACACCATGTTCTCAGTGTCACTTGACTCCCAGTCTTACCCCCACATTCTCTGATAGGTTCTAGACAGGTTCTCAGTGTTTTCAAGCCCTGATTGGAGACTTTGTCATTTGGAGAGTTCTAGAACATGCCTCCAGTGTTCCCAGAACCCAGCATCACCCCCACACTCTCTAGTATGTACTAGGTCATAGTCTAAGTGCTTCTAAGCCCTAGTCAGAGATCTTCTGCATTAGAGAGTTCTAGAATATATCCCCAGTGTTCCCAGACTCCAGTGTTACCCCCACATTCTCGAGTGGGTTCTAGGTCATAAGTCTAAATGTCCCCAAGCCTCAGTCAGTTGGCAAGTTCTAGAACATATCCTCAGTGTTCCCAGACCCCCAGTCGTATGCCTGCACTCTCTAGGCCACAGTCTTAGTGTCCTAGCTCTGGTCTGAGCCCCCTTTTCCTTCATGGATTCTAACCACTTTCCCTGGTTCCCAATCTCACCCTCTTTCTCTCTGGTGGGTTCTAGGCCACCTTCATGGTGTTCCAGGCCTTGGCTCAGTACCAGAGGGATGTCCCTGACCACAAGGATCTGAACCTGGATGTGTCCATCAACCTGCCCAGCCGCAATTCTCTGGTCAATCACCGCATCGTCTGGGAATCCGCCAGCCTCCTGCGATCGGAAGAGGTGAATCCTCCTGGCCAAGGCCCCTTTGCTCTGTTTCGCCCTTCACACTAGCCAGAGTCTGCTGGGGGGACAGAAGAGCAGGCAGATGGCCATCACAACTGGGGAAGACTTGGTTCCCACACACTCTCTTCTCTCTCCCCTCTCCCTGCAGACCAAGGAAAATGAGAACTTCACATTAACAGCCAAAGGGAAAGGGCAAGGCACCTTGTCGGTAAGGAATGGGGTCCATCACCTCTCAGCGCCTTTGCCTGGAGGGATGCTCTCTCTCCTGTCCTCAGCTGTCTCAAGTCTTGGGTGCCAAGACTTCATTTCTTCCCCTCCCACCTTCCAGGTGGTGACAATGTACCATGCCAAGGTCAAAGGCAAAACCTCCTGCAAGAAGTTCAGCCTTAGGGTCAAAATACAGCCAGCCCCCGAAACAGGTAAAAGGAATAAAGACCCTGCTATGTCACTGTCCCCCCAACCCAATCCTAACACCTGACCCCCTTCCTGAGTGGGGACCAGGGGACCTCTTTACTGTGTTTCTGTCTTCTGTGTTTTCTCTAGTCAAGAAGCCTCAGGATGCCAAGAGCACCATGATCCTAAACATCTGTACCAGGTAGGAAGCTGGACTCCTGGGCATCATCTCAGCCCTGTCTCTGCCTCCAGCAGCCAACCTGTGACAGCTCACTCTCCCCAACAGTCTACGACATTTCTCCCAGTTGCTGTTGAGCCAGCTATGACTATCGCTGACCCCGTGTGTGTCAGAGCAGAGCTGTGCCCCGTAGCCTTTTCAGGGGCTGGGTTTCTGTCAGTAGATCACCAGGCCTTTCTTCTGAAGTGCCTCTGGGTGGACTCAAACCTCCAACCTTTTGGGTAGCAGCTAAGCATGTTCACGTTTGCACCACCCAGAAACTCCCAAGAGTTCCTTTAATGTGTAATTTATTTTTGCCAGTGTCACTCCTGTGTGACATCATCATCTTTTGGTTACAACCATTTATGTCCAGGTTTCATGTGCCTGTGAGGTGATTGAAAAGACTGTGGCTTGAGTTCAGTGCACCTTTGAGGTCTTTTGCAGCAGATTTGCCCAATGTGATTATTGTTGTTGTTGTTGTTATGTGCCGTCGAGTCAGACCCGACTCATAGCGACCCCTCCTTGGGTTTCTGAGACGGTATCGCTACAGAAGTAGATTGCCCAATTCCTTCCAAGGAGCGGCTGTTGGGTTTGAACCACTACCCTTCTGGTTATCAGTCAAGTTTCTCAGGCACTATGCCACCAGAGCTCCCGCCCAATCCAATATGTCCTTTGATTTCCTGACTGCTGCTGCTTCCATGGGCCTCCTGGATCGTGGGTCCAAGTAAAATGAAACCCTCGACAACTTCAATATTTATTTCAGACCTTTACACTTGTTAGGAGTCGTCAGGTCAACTCCGACTCAGGGCGCCCCCGTGGGACAGAGTAGAACCGCCCTGTGGATTTTCTAGGCTGTAATCTTTACAGGACCAGATCACCAGGTCTATCTCCTGTGGAGCTCCTGAGTGGGTTGAACCACCTGCCGTTTGGTTAGCAGTCGAGCACTTAACCATTGCATCACCAAGGCTCCTTATCATTGCATTACCGTCCTTTCTTTCCCATTGGGAAAGTGTTTCCTAAAAGCTAACATCCCCCTATGCTGGAGCCCTCAGGCCCTGGCCAGACCCCCCGCTCCACAAGACTGACCTCTCTCTGGATCACAATGGCGTCTCTCCCTGACCCATCCAGGTACCTGGGAGATCAAGACGCCACCATGTCAATCCTAGATATATCCATGATGACTGGCTTTTCTGCAGACACTGGTGACCTTGACCAGGTAGGAAGGTCTTGGGCTTGGGGCTGGGCTCAGCAGGAAGGGCTCTGGGGTCTTTAAGAGGCTGAAGGGAGGGAAGGGGATCTAGGGGGGATTTTCACAAAGCCTCACCCTTCCCTAGTTGAGCAAAGGCGTCGACAGATACATCTCTAAGTACGAGATGGAGAAGGCCTTTTCCAACAAGAACACCCTCATCATATACCTGGACAAGGTAAGGCTCCCATTGGTACCTTGACCCCTACCTGGCTGGCCTTTTCTCTCTCTGTGTCTGTGTCCCCACGTCAGGCTAGTCCCAGGCTAGGAGAGTGGTGTGGAAGGAACACGTGAAGCAAGGGGGTCACCCCAGGCACGGAGTCCCTGGGCGGCCCACACAGTCAGGCACTTGGCTACTAGCCAGAAGGTTGGTGGTCCAATCCCACCCTGAGGTGCCTCAGAAGACAGGCCTGGAGATCTGCTTCTGAAAGGTCACGGCCTTGAACGCCCTGGGAGCAGCTCTGCTCTGACACACACGGGGTGGCTGTGAGTCAGACTCGACTCCATGGCAACAAACAACAATAATCCCTGATACCCCAGTGCCCTTACCCTACTTTAGTCAGTGTCTTGGTTTCTCAGGCCTGCTGTAACAGAAATACGAGGATCCCATGGGTGTGAGGGGCCCAGGATCTGAGAGAACAGGGATCCCGTGGGTGTGGAGGACCCAGGAATCTGAGAGAACAAGGATCCTGTGAGGGTGGGGGGCCCAGGAATCTGAGAGAACAAGTATCCCATGGGTGTGAGGGGCCCAGGGATCTGAGAAAACAAGGATTCCGTGGGGGTGAGGGGCCCAGGACCTGAGAGAACAAGGATCCCGTGGGTGTGGGGGGCCCAGGACCTGAGAGAACAAGTGGGGAGATTTAGCTAACATACATTTATTTTCTCACAGTCTAGGAGGCTACAAGTCTGAATCAGGTGCAGGTTTCAGGGGAAGGCTCTCTCTGTTGGCTCTGAGGGAAGGTCCTGGTCTAGCTTCTGGAGTGTTCTTTGTCCTCAGGTTCCTCAGTGACCTTTGTGTGGCTTCTATCTTTTCACTTTCCCAGCTTTCTGATGCCTCATCTACTCTTTTATATATCAGAAGTGATCAGCTTAGGACACACCCTGCAGTGGTATGGCTTAATTACCATAACAAAGAACTCTATTCCCAAATGGAATCCCATCCACAGGGATTGGGGAAAAAAAACCTCATTGCCATGCCCTGCCCGTAGTGATCTCTGTTGGGTTTCCAAGGTGGTAAATCTTAAGGGAAGTAGCTTGTTCTGTCTTCCTTCCACAGAGCAGCTGGTGGGTGAAGGGTCAGGATTTACAGCACATATTTTTGGAGGACAAAATTTAATCTGTAACAGTCGACATTAGTAACACTGCCTGCCACATATAACAAGGCCCTAAAGCGTGGCCCCTAAGGCATTTGACAGCTAACCAGAAGGTTGGTGGTTCAAACCCACCAACCAGTCCATGGAAAGAAGATGGTGCAGTCTACTTCTATAAAGATTTACCCCCTTGGAAACCCAGTGGGGGTTGCTATAAGTTGGAATTGACTTGATGGCAGTACGTTTGGGTTTTTTTTTTTGAAAGAACATGGTGTCTTAAGTTAACAGGCCTGCATTTCTCTCTCATGTGAAGTGTAATTGTTGAGAAGGGTGAGGAAGGGAGCCTCGGCTCCATGCAGTCACTCAGGGACCCAAGCACCTCCCATCTGTGGTTCTGCCATCCCTACGACCCCCTTGGAGTCCTCTGCTGGATCCATTATTTCTAGAAGAAAAGGGGCTTATGCACGGGTGGTTTTTATGGGTGTCGATAGCACTTGGTTGGCTAGAATGTAGCCATGTGGCCTCAACCCACAGGAAGGCTGGGAAATGTCACCTAGCTGTGAGTCTGGGAGAAAAAGAACATGGATTTGCTGACCAGCTCATTCATCTCAGCCCCATCCCCATTGTCCCCCACCTGTATCCCTCAATTTCTTCCCCATTGCTCCCACTCTCAACATACTCTGCCCTAGACCACTAACCAAAACATTGGCATTTCAGAGGCACCTGGGAGGAAAGTCCAGGTGATCGGCTTCTGAAAGGTCACAGCCTTGAAAGCCCTATGGCTTTTCAAGATCAGCCAGTGGAAACCCCATGGACCACCACAGTGTACAGTTCTACACTGCACAGAGGGGGTCTCCATGAGTTGGAATTGACTTGATGGCAGCTAACAACAATGGCTCCAACTCCTAGTGCCCTGTGCTGGACACCTCCCTTCCCACTGACCAAACTCGTCTTCCTCCCCAGATCTCACATACCAGGGAGGAGTGTCTGACCTTCAAAGTTCACCAGTACTTCAAGGTCGGCCTTATCCAGCCTGGATCCGTCAAGGTCTATTCCTACTACAACCTGGGTGAGCAGTCAACCTGGGGGCTGGGGGCTGAGGGTCCTGGAGGTCTGAGAATTGGGGTAAGAGAATCCCACAGCTGTGACTGTCTTAAGAGGGTCCTAAGGGAGCTCTGGTAGCATAGTGCCTAAGGCACTTGACTGCTAACCAGAAGGCTGGCAGTTCAAACCCACCAGCCACTCCTCGGAAGGAAGGTTGGGCAATCCTACTTCCGTAGTGATACTGCCTCGGAAACCCAAGGAGGGGTCGCTATGAGTCGGGGCTGACTCGATGGCACATAACAACAACAACAACAACAACAACAAGGGTCTACGAGTTGAAGGTCAGAGTTTCCTCAGGATCTGAAAATGGGAGGATGTTGTTCCCATGGTGACGGTGGTTCAGTGAAAGAATTCTCCCTTTCCATGCGGGAGGACTGGGTTCCATTCCCGGCCAATGCACGTGATGTGCAGGCATCACCCGTCTGTCAGTGGAGGCTTGCATGTTGCTAGGATGCTGAACAGGTTTCAATGGAGCTTCCAGACAAGAGGGACTAGGAAGAAAAGCCTGGTGATCAATTTCCAAAAGATCAGCCAGTGAAAACCCTATGGACCACACAGTCTATCTACAGCCAATCATGGGGATGGGGCAGGACCAGGCAGCATGTTGTTCTGTTGTGTGTGGGGTCGTCGTGAGTCAGGGCCAACTCAAGGGCAGGACAGCAGCAATGGTAACAAGGATCCCGTGCATGTGAGGGTCCCAGGAATCTGAGAGAATAAGGATCTCATGGGTGTGAGGGGTCCAGGACCTGAAAGAATGAGGATCCCATGGGTGTGAGGGTCCTAGGATCTGAGAGAACAGGGGTCCCGTGGGGGTGAGGGGCCCAGGATCTGACAGCAGGGCTTAGAGGGCCCCAGAGATGTGAGGGCTGGGGACCTGGAGTCTCCTTGTCTGTGGGTCTGAGGTGGGAGTCTGGGTATCCCAGGAGAGGTCTCTGACCCCTCCCCTCACCTGTGCCCACAGACGAGTCCTGCATCCAGTTCTACCACCCGGACAAGGAGGACGGGATGTTGGACAAGCTGTGCCACAAGGACATGTGTCGCTGTGCTGAGGGTGAGTGGGGAGGCACTCACTGACCCCACCCTCATGAGGTGACCTGAGGGGACACGCTCTGGACACCAAGGGAATTGGCCACACTCAGAGTGGTGGGCCCAGGACAAGAAATGGGACTGAGATGGTGTCCCCACCTCCCGCAGAGAACTGCTTCATGCACCACCAGGAGGACGACAAGGTCACCCTGGACGATCGGCTGGACAAGGCCTGTGAGCCGGGCGTGGACTATGGTGAGTGAGGACAGCACAGTGTGTCCACCACCAGGGAGGGCACGAGGACGTGTGACTGTGAGTGGCTGTGATTGTGTGTGTGCAACTGATGGTAGGTGTGGCTGTGTGCATGAGAGACTGTGGATGCTGGTGAGAACATAGAAGAGACACAGAGAGGTGCAGGTAAAGACGGAGGTGAGGACCCAGAGGTAGATGCAGGGGAGATACGGATAATAAAGCAAAAGACAATGCAGGTGTATGGTTGTTTGTGGCTACGAGTTAATTGTGTGAAGTTTGGTTGTAAGTGGCTATGGTTGTGAGTGTGGCTGTGTGTGGGGCAGTGGTTGGGATGACCATGGTCTTGTGTGTGCCTCTGAGTGTGATGGTATGAGGCAGTGGCTGTGTATATGGCTGGCTGTGGTATCCAACATGCTCTGGTTGGGGGAGCCAAGTGTGCTTAGGGACGAGGCTGCCCCAGGATCCCCCCTGCCTGTGACCCCATTTTCCCCCCTCCCACAGTGTACACGACCAGGATGGTGAGGAAGGAGCTGGCCAACGACTTTGACGATTACATAATGGTCATAGAGCAGCTCATTAAGTCAGGTCAGCCTGGCCCTCTGCTTCCACCTCCCCACCCTGCCCCTGGCCTCCCTACCTGGGCTCAGCACCCTCTCCCCTCCAGGCACCGATGAGGTGCAGGCTGGACAGGTGCCCTGTGCTTCCGCCCCCTGGGCTCAGTGCCCTCTCCCTCCCCCCAGGCACCGATGAGGTGCAGGTTGGACAGGAGCGCAGGTTCATCAGCCACGTCAAGTGCAGAGAGGCCTTGAAGCTGACGGAGGGGAAGCGCTACCTCATCTGGGGCGTCTCCTCAGACCTGTGGGGAGAGAAACCCAAGTAAGTGCCACCCCATGCCCCGTGCATGCCACAGTCACCCCTCCTCCCTGCCCTGCCCCTCCTCACCTGTCCTTGCCTGTCAAACCTCACCAGCACCAGCTACATCATTGGGAAGGACACCTGGGTGGAGCTGTGGCCGGAAGCTGATGAATGTCAGGACGAGGAGAACAGGAAGCAGTGTAGGGACCTGGAGGCCTTCGTGGAGAGCATGGTGGTCTTCGGATGCCCCAACTGAGCCCCGCCCCCCCAATAAAGTCTCAGGGTGCTCCGCCTGTCTACCAGAGTCTGCAGGTGTTGGGGGACAGCTGGGATTCAAACATCAGCTCCATCCTACCTGGAAAAGTTCACCTGATTCCTGATCCATCCTCTCCTGTAGTTCACTGCAAGTTCACTGGCCTCCTCACCTGAAAAGAATGTACCTGTCTCACTGTACCTAGCCTGCAGTGCACCTGCATCTCACCTGCAGCTCAACCTCACCCTTACCTAAGTGCTCCTTTACATTCTTCACCTGCATCCTCACCTGCATCCTCACCTCCATCCTCACCTCCACCCTCACCTGCATCCTCACCTCCACCCTCACCTGTGTCCTCACCTGCATCCTCACCTCCGTCCTCACCTGTGTCCTCACCTGCATCCTCACCTGCATCCTCACCTCCGTCCTCACCTCCACCCTCACCTGCATCCTCACCTGTGTCCTCACCTGCATCCTCACCTCCATCCTCACCTCCGTCCTCACCTGCATCTTCACCTCCATCCTCACCTCCACCCTCACCTCCACCCTCACCTGCATTCTCACCTCCGTCCTCACCCATTCTCATTTTTGTCCCATTTGCCCCTCTTCCACAACTCTCCACCATTTCCATCTCACCTGCATCCTGTTCACCCTCTGGGCTCCCCACAGGTCACTTGTGGGATCCACACCATTAACACGAAGGCTACTCACCAAAAGGTTGGTGGTTCTAGTCCACCCAGCGGTGCCTCAGAGGAAAGTCCTGGGGATCTATTTCCTGTGCAGCAGTTCTACTCTGACATGCGTGGGATTGCCAGGAGTTGGAACTGACTCGCTGGCAACTGGTTCAGCTTTTGGGGGGCTCACCCCACCTTCTCAGCCCAGACTGTCTCAGTGGGTCAGAAAAGGCTAGTCAGTTTGTCCACCAGGAGAGGGCTAGGGGGCAGGCAGGGTGCTGTTTCCTGCTGGAGCCCCGCGTAGAACAAGGCATGAGTCATCGGTTGGGGAGGGCGTATGGAGGCTGTTGCGATGACACCATCATCGGGTTCATGTGGCTCAGAGGCACACATGTGGTGGGAGATGGCCACCTTAGACGTGTGGGGCCCCCAGGTGTCCCTTCCAGCTGCACCTCTAGTGTCTTGGAGGGAGGTGGTGGTCGCTCAGTGGCAGAATTCCCACGTTTCATGAAGACCAGGGTTTGATTCCAGCCAGCACGCCTCCTGTGCAGCCACCACCCCTCCTTCAATGGAGGGTTCTGTTAGTGGGATGCAGAACAGGTGTCAGCGAAGACTCCAGGCTAAGACAGACAAGGAAGAAAGGCCTGGTGATCCACTTTCAAAAATCAGCCAAGGGTTCATCGGGGCCAATTGGATGGCAGCTACCAACCCCTTAGAGACTGTGTGTGTGTGCACGCGCGCGTGCGTGCGTGCACACTAGGGTGCATCCAGGCTCCACCTCCGGGCCCCTCATCACACACAGAAACCCCTGACCTTGGAAATCCCCCCTGCACAGTCTCTTTCTCCTAAGACCCCCAGGCCCTGGAAACCCCCACCTCCCAACTCTGGGAGTATCAGGGAAATACCATATCTTCAAGCAAATAACTTCTATGTTTGTTTGAAAACCACTCCCTCCCTCCCCCAGGTACTTTTGTAAATGCACTGTGGTAATTTTTTCATAGCCCATCCCACCCCCAACCTCCATTGCCCAGTGGAGTCCAAAGTATCTGCCTCCTTTAAAACAACAAAAACTGCTCTTGTGTCAGTTCCAATTCATGTCTGAGCCCCGATATCAGGTGGAGACCAGCGTCAGGCTGAGCCTCAACTCTGGGCTGAGCTCCAACCCCAGCTGAGCCCCAACTTCAGTCTGAGCCTGACCCCAGCCAACCCTGGCCACAGGCTGAGCTCCACCTAGACTTAGCCCTGGTCAATGTCCAGTGGAAACATGACTGGAGACCATAAACGAGAGCAGGGATAAAGACATGCTCCCTGTGTCCCCCAACATCCACCCTCTCTGATCTGCACAGGGTGGGACTGGGGGTTCCAGATATCTCCCTTCCCCCCTCTCCAGCCCCACTCAACTGCTGACTCCTGGGCTTCTACCCTAGGCAGTATCCACAGACCTTCCAGGGGGTCTTAAACCACTGCCCACCCCACAGCCTCAACCTTACCTGCTAGTACTGCTGAAACAGAAATACAAGTGGGCTAGAGGGTGGGGGTGAATTAAATGGTGGTAAGAACTAAAGCTATCCCCTGAAGCCTTCTCTGAACCAAAACTAAAACCAAACCAAATACCATTGAATCAATTCCACTTCACAGCACAGCTAGAGGACAGAGTAGAACTGCCCCATAGGGTTTCCAAGGCTGCAAATCTTTATAGAAGCAGACTCCCACATTTTTCTCCCACAGAGTGGCTGGTGGGTGGGTTTCAACTACAGACCTTTCAGTTAGCAGCCAAGCACTTTAAGCACTGTTCCACCAGGGTTCCTTTGACTGTGTATACTTTCAACAAAATGTTTTTAAAAATAATGTCGCAGATGGTAAGAGTTGAAGCAGTAAGTCCAGTTGTGGAATTGCTGCAGCCATCCAGTGAGATGGTGGCAGCTCTGGGCACAGAAACAGGTGGCCGGGTACAAGATCTGTTTGGTAGGTTGAAATGACAGGACTTGTTGAGAGATTGGATATGGGGACAAGGCATAGGGAGGTCTTCTGCTAGGTTAACTGAGTGGATGGTGGTTTCACTCCCTGTGAGTTTCAATAAAAATTGTGTACACACACATGTATGCTCACATCACACACACACATGCACACATAACACATAGCATGAACACACATGCATATTCTCACCGCACAGTGCACACACACAGCATATATAGGTATGCACACACATGCACACACCTACCACACAATGTACACACAAATATGCACAGATAACACACTCAGCCACAATATACACACATAATTTACCACACATACACATAAGAGTACACACACACCATCCATAACATACATGTGTATGAGCCCACACACATGTATGGGCACGCCCGTGTGCACCAGTGCACATGTGTGGACATGTGCACACACATGCATGCACACACCACACGCATGTGCACATGTGCACACACATGCATATATGCACACACATACATGCACAGGCACACACCTCCCCCTACTTTACTCAGCTCTAGTATTCTCCACAGAGTAGCAGCCAGGGATCCAGGTAAGGGGAGGGACCCAGGCCCCACCCCCACCAACCAGGAAAGTGGGGGAAAAGCGAAGCCAGAGGGGATGACAGAGCAGAGCAGCGAGGGATCCAGGTAAGTCGAGGGCAGAGAGGTTTTGAACAGCTAAGTGAGACAAACTTGTCCGTCAGTTTGTCGTACTATTGTGGCTTGTGTGTTGCTGTGAGGCTGGAGGCTGTGTCACTGATGTTTCAAGTGCCAACAGGTTGCACATGGTACACAGGTTTCAATGCAGCTTATAGACAGAGACAGACTAGGAAGAAGGAAGGGGCCATTTACTTCTCAAAGAATTGGCCAGGAAATACCTTATGAATATCAAAGCAACACTGATACAATACTGCACAACTTTATGAATAGCCTGACACAGTGCAGGAGAGTGAGCCACTTAGGTCAGAAGGCTTTCAAAATACAACTAAGAAAGAGCTGCATCATCAGAGTAGGACCAACCTTACTGATACGGATAAAGTAAACCTTTTGAGACCTCCTTTTGCTGACACGGTATGACTCAAATTGAGGAGAAACAGCTGCAAACATCCATTAATAATAGGAACATGGAATGTATGAAGTATGAATCTATGAAAATTGGAAGTTGTCAAAAATGAAAGGGAACGCATAAAGATTGATATCCTAAGCATTAGTGAGCTGAAATGGACCAATTTGGACCATTTTGAATCAGACAACAATATGATCTACTATGCCGGGAATGCCAATTTGAAGAGGAATGGTGTGGCATTCATCATCACAAAGGATGTTTCGGGATCTGTCCTGAACTTATCTCTAGAATTTACAGAAAACTCCAGCACCTCAAAAGCAAAAAAACAAATAATCCAATTTAAAAATGGGCGGATGACATGAAAAGACACTTCACCAAGGAGGATATTCAGGGGGCCAACAAACATATGAAGAAATGCTCATGATCATTAGCCATTAGAGAGATGCAAATCAAAACAATGAGATACCATCTGGCCCCAGCACTAGTAACAAAGTTCAACAAGACAGAAAATAACAAATGCTGGTGAAGATGTGGAGAGATTGGGACTCTCATACACTGCTGGTGGGACTGTAAAATGGTACAACCACTGTGGAAAGCAGTATGGTGATTCCTTAAGAAGTTGGAATTTGAAATACCATTTGACCCAGCCATTCCATTACTAGGTATATATCCTAAAGAAGTGAGAGCCAGGACATGAACAGACATATGCACACCCAAGTTCATCACAGCACTATCTACAATAGTGTGCCCATCAACTGAGGAATGGATAACCAAACTATAGTACATACACACAATGGAATACTATACAACCCTAAAGAATAACGTAGAATCTGCAGAACACCACATAACGTGAATTAACTTGGTGGACATTATGCTGAGTGAAGTAAGTCAATCACAGGACAAATATTGTATTGGTCTGTTATTGTAAAAGTCAAGGAAAGGTTTATATATGGAAGGAAACTTTCTTTGTTGATTACCAGGGGTGGGAGGGGACGGGAGGGATCACTGTTAAATAGGTAGAGATAAGTATTGATTTGGGTGAAGAGAAGGGCAACGTACCAAATATGAGTGATCAACATGGTGGCATTGAGGAAGAGGAAGACATAGAGTGGTGCATGGGAGATGCAGACAACAAAGATGAACCCTTTTGCACATACAGTACTGCATTGTCAGTGAAGGCAAACATGGGTATATGGGTGGATAGATGAGTGGACAGTCTGAATGATTAGGTATGCAGGGGGGGTGTACCCAAGACCATGTATAAGGTTGGCAGACAATCGTTCTACAAGTGTATTTGTATGTTCTGTAAGAATTCCCAGGTGTATAGTAAAGCTGACCAGGGACAAGGTTGTAGTCACTTCTTGGCCACAGCCAGCTACCCAGAGGGACCGAGTAGTTGAACCTGTGGGCTCAGGACCATAGTCACAGGGGACATCAAGCTCAATTGGCATAACATACTACATAAAACATTGTTCCACCTCCTACATTGGTGAGTAGCAACTGGGATCTTAAAAGCTTGCAGGCTGCCATCTAGATGCAACAGTGGGTCTTTCCTCATCCAGAGCAAAGAAGAATGAAGAAAACCAAAGATTCATGGACAAATTAGTCCAAGGGACTGGTACACCATGTGATCCACAGCCTATATGACTATGAGACCAGAAGAACTAGATGGTGCCCAGCTACCACTGTCAACCACTTGGAGGGGGATCTACGTAGGAGATCCTGGATAGAGAGGGAGAACAATATGGAACAAAACTCAAAATCATTTGAAAAAAAAAAGGGGGGGGGACCAGGTTTGCTGGTCTGATAGAGCCTGGTGGAACCACTGAGACTATGGCCCCTAACTGCCCTTCAGGTCTGGAATTGAACCCATACCCGTGGCTTCCAGCCAAACAAAAGATAGGCATATGAGCTAACATTTACCTGAGGTAGATACACTCCTTGGAGAGAGCAATCATGGGAGAAAGAAGGGCTGTTCATGCACAGTGAGGCAGCGCAGGGGGCAGGAGTACATGGAGGGATGGACACAGAGAAGAGGTAACTATGGGGAGGAAGTGGGAGGGGAGCTGTTGCATTGGGGGTAAATTGTAGTCAATGTCATGAGACAAAACGTATGTGAGCTGCTATATGGAAAGTGAGTTTTCTCCATAAACTTTCACCCAAATCACAATTAAAAAAAAAAACGATCTGTCCTAAATTACAATGCTGTCAGTAATAGGATAATATCCATACACCTACAAGGAAGACCAGTTAATATGACTATTATTCTAATTTATGTACCAACCACCAAAGCCAAAGATCAGGAAATTGAAGATTTTTATCAACTTCTGCAGTCTGAAATTGACTGAACATGCAATCGAGATGTGTTAATTATTACTGGTGACTGGAATGCAAAAGTTGGAAATGAAGACTCACTGGTAGTTGGAAAATTTGGCCTTGGTGACAGAAATAATGTTGGAGATTGCCTGATAGAATTTTGCAAGACCTATAGGTCCATTGGACGGGGCCGCCATCACTCTCCCCTCCGCAACACCTTATAAATTATTTTTTTATTCACTAGCTTGTCTGTCCTTCTCGCCCAACTTGAATATGAGCCTCAGCAGAGCAGGGACTCCTGTCCCATTTGCTGCCGTGTCCCCAGGCCTCGGACAGTGCCTGGCACTCGGACGTGCTCCACAGTTACTTGATCAGGTGAAGGAAGTAGCTGAGAAGGGAGCTGGGGTCTCTCCCCACCTCGCCCCCACCCCAACCTGAGTCACATTTCTGAGGCTTCTAGAAAGTGTGAGACAGGGACAGTGAGTAGGAGCTGGGAGTGAGGGGACAGGAAGGAGCAGAGGGCGTGTGGGGAAAGGGGTGGGGCTGAACTCCAGTTCTAAAGGCAGCTGGGCCCTCACGCACCTTCTGTAGTGCACAAAGCGTCCGGGCGTCAGGCAATCCCGACTTCCTCCCAGCCTGCAAGACCTAGCGCGCCAGCCCTGCCCCTGGTGTCTCGGGCCTCGGCCGCCGGGGCATGGAGAACACAGCTGTGCGGCCTTCGGTGTTCGTGGTGGACGGACAGACGGACATCCCATTCAGGAGGCTGGGGCGTGGCTGCCAGAGACAGGCCTTCAGCGCTGCCAGGCTGGGCCTGGGCCTCCTCCTGCTGCTG